ATATCTCCACACGTGACAGTAATTGACGTAATTTCAGTTAACAGTATGAAAATAACGTTCTCTAAATTCTTCCAGTTGCTAAGGACATTTTGTTTTTGTTATTATTAGTTACTTACCTGGCACTTGTGCTTCGGCCCTGTGCTGGTGGTATCACAGCTATGTCTAGGTTGGACCGGCTCGGGCCTGGACCAACTATGACAAGCCAAGACCAGCTATGACTAGCTTAAACCAGCTATGACTAGCTTAAACCAGCTCTGACCAGCTTGGACAAGCTATGACCAGCTAAGACCAGTGGCCCGAGTGGAAACACTCGGGTTCCCCACATTAAAACCGATCTTGTGTCACATCCTGAGTCAGTGGGGCGTCAAGTAAATATTCATACTTTGTTTAAATAAATTCATTTCGTTTTTTTTTCTTCCTTTTCTTTCCACAAATTATATTCTATCCTGTCTATTTGGCCTTGTCATTCAATTAATGTTGCTTTCTTTAAAAAAAAAGTTAGAACTCAGCCAATATCGATCAATAAAATCAAATGTTTAAACATTTAAAGATTTTTCAGTGAAGAATACAAAATCTATCGTACATACTTATATGAGGTATGATAAAAAATATCGGGACTGGTGTTATAAAAAGAAAACTAAAACGCATATCAATTCCCCATTTAATCTCCTTCAAAGTAGTACCCTTCTGAAGCCATGCAGTTTATCCAGCGTCGTTTCCCTTAATGGAAGAATTCTTGTTACTCCTTTTTTAGGATAGAGACCAGTTGCCTCGTTGCATTCTCTTGGATTTCCTCGATGTCTTGAAATCATGTTCCTTTCAAGTAGTATTTGATTTTTGAAAAGGTGAAAGTCGCAAGGGGCGAGATCTGGAAAATATGGTGATTGTCGGACCTGGGGAATGTTGTGCATAGCCAAAAACTGTTGCACAAGACATGGTTACAGATGAAACCTCTGTGTTGTGGTGAGACGACCACACTCTTCACACTTTCCTTCTAAGCACTCCCGGAAACGATGGAAGTGAGCGAGAATGTTAGAGCTTAGTGTGTCCGCGCGACAGAGTTGAAGATTAATCTGTGTCAAACGGCTTCCCTCTGCGTACTTTAGCTCCGTTACCATAGCAACAGTCCCGATACTTTTTTTGATTAGATCTTGTATTGCAATGAATAATAGCACTAATTTACATTGTTCGCATTGTTGTCCTTATCTTTATTGCCATATTTACGACGTTTCGGTTGTCGTACTCTCTGACCTTCTTCACGTGATTGGAACTAAACCCTTTATTTCGTCCACTGGAGTAGATTGTTCTTGTTCCACATGTCATACCACTTCCGGATGTCTCAGTTATCTCCTTTTAACTCGACTTTCCAGATAAGACTGCAAGAACATCGAAAATCCGTAACACGAGGGGAAATAGAAAAATAAGGCGTAGCTGACCGCATATGGAGGGAAAAGGGAGATTACCGCCCCACCTCTGTGTGCTGAGGTTGAAATAATAGAGAACATACCTGGAAAATTCGAAAACTTAAGGAATCAGCACATATGCTAGGCCACAAAAATCTAAGCCGGCCAAGCATAGACATGAATTCAATATGGGAACCAGTAAGAAGGATTGCTAGGGAAACGCAATAATAACAACAAAAATGCAATATGCGCTCTGGTAAAAAAATGTTACTGCGACATTAAGTTTATAAGTGCCAAAAATTCATACATTGATGTCTTCAAAGCCATATGGCACAGTGTATAAAAGCGTTGGTTGGATCCAGTGACTTGAGTGTTGTGAGTTCAATACATAGCTACTGCAGTAATGAACAGAAAGTGTTGAGTTGCATCGGGAAGAGGCATTTGACATGAAACTAGAACAATCTATAAAGGGCTCAATTCTAAATTCTAATTACCTGAAGAAGGAGTACAACGGTCGAAACATCGCGAATATTGCAACATATGGATGAGGACAACAGTTAGAACAATGTAAATAATTGCAATACCTCATCTAGATAATAGAACTTTTTTATATATATATATATATATATATATATATATATATATATATATTAAGTTCTATTGTCCTCATCCATATGTTGCAATATTCGCGATATTTATATATATTATATATTCCTTCTTCAGGTAATTAAAATTTAGAATTGAGTTGTCCTTTATAGATTGTTCTAGTTTCATGTCAAATGCCTCTTCCCGATGCAACTCAAATATATATATATATATATATATATATATATATATATATATATAAAACAAGACAATAAATAAATGGGAGAGAATATGAGATAAAGTAAAGTAGAGAGGACAATAAAAGAACGGATTAATAGAAGATAACAATTGACATTGTATTTAAATTTCTGAAAATGAAACTTGACTGGAAAGCAAGAAGCAGGAAGAGAGTTCCACAAGTGAGAATCTCTCACTGTTAGCGTAGAACTGTAAAATGATAAGACCGCCAGTACTGCGCTTAAATTGATAAATCTTTGGTAATAAAGAGGTAAGCTCATCAGAACAATAATCATGAAAACAATTTATAGAAACGGCACAGAGAAGTTACGTTACGATGGTAGGAAAGTGACTGAAACTGAGATGCCAGGTCAGGACCAATAACATTTCAGATTCTTCTTTGGATTTTATCAAGAATTTATGTATTGAAAATGTATACATATAAGTATCATTTAACTATTTTTTAGACATCTTAGATAGTTTTTACTTCAACATTCCAAGTTATTTTAAGACATTTTTTATGTTCATACATTCTTTTTATAGATACAAATATTTGTATCTATAAAAAGAATGTATAAGCATAAAAATGTCTTAAAATAATTGTCGGACTTTGTCCATTTCATAATGCATTCCAAGTCATGTAAAGTAAAAATATTTTGATTAATGTAGTTTGGTTTATTGATTTATTTTCTTTTATAGCATATTAACCTCAATAGGTTAACTAATACCGACAAGGATAGATTTGTATGAATAGAATACGTATTCTTTGTATATAATTTTTTTTTCAAAAATGCATTGCTGGTAATATTTTTTTTCAAAAATGCATTGCTGGTAATATTTTTTTTTCTAAAATGCATTGCTGGTAATATTTTTTTTTCAAAAATGCATTGCTGGTAATATTTTTTTTTCAAAAATTTATAGCTAGTATTTTTTGTCTATAAAAACCTATTTTTACACTATGTATTGCTAGTATTTTAACCCCAATTTGTGGGTTAAATATTTTCCAATAGTTGATAACCTAACAGGTGCTACAACACACAGTCAGGCTGGATCTGAGAACAACAGCAATTAAGAGGTGGTTCTATGCTCCTGAAAAGCTTCTGATCAGAGGCCTTGCTGCCGGATGTAGTTTATTATCATGCCCAGGACACCTCATTTAGTAAGTGGTCTTAACCCTATGCAGTGGTGCAGTTGGTGTATTCTGAATCCCCAACCGACAGGGTGATGATTAATATAGTTTTTTTTTTCTTTTGTCTTATAATGGCTTCAAGAATCATTTAGTTTTTCTTTGCAGTGAATCTTGTATAATATTATTTCATAATCACTGATATATATATCTCAGCATGTGTTCTATAAAAGATATAACTTCGAAAGCGAAACAGTGTATTGTAATTAGATGGGAAGCACAATGTGAGAAAGGTTGAATCTAGATCGTAAAACAATAAAAAAAAAGTGCGGTGGGAAAGTGACTGCAACTGAGATACCAGGTCAAGACCGATAACATTGGAGATTATTCTTTGGATTTAATCAAGAGTTTCTAAATACATGGCAGAAGCAGCAGAGCAGAAATATTTAATGCCTGTAAGCCCGGTAAAGTTATGAAATATGTAAAATAGATTCTGGTGAGAAAAAATTGTCTAGCACAATGCAGCAAACCAACTTTTCTTGCAATAGAAATTACTATAATTTTTTGTTACCTATCGTTTTTAGTTACCTATATTTTTAATTACCAATAATTTTATTTACCAATATTTTTAATTACCTATATTTTTAATTACTTATACTTTTTAATTACCTATAATTTTACAAATGATTTTAATTACTTATAATTTTTAATTACCTATAAATGTTTAATTACTTATTGTTGTGGGGTTCTCCCCTTTTTACATAAGATGGACTCGTCCAAAGTATACTTATACTGACAGAGAGAATACCTGCGGTTGAGATACGTTGAGATACGTGGAGATACGTTGAGACAGGTTGAGAGATACGGAGACAGACACAGGGTGTTCTCAGAGAGTTATACAAGAGTCCAGAGCGAGATGATTATGGCTTTACTTACAGAGACTTGTACATATACTTTCTACTAACCCGCATTCCTGGACTACTAATAATCACTTCAAGTCTGTATTCTTACGTTTAATACACTTATTTTTCTATCTCAATTACTGGCGTTGTTTATTTATTTGTGCAGGATTCCATTCACGGAATCCACAACAATAATTAATTATTTATAATTTTAATTACCTATAATGTTTAATTACCTATAATACAGAGCCACAAACGTTACCCCCATGCCATCTGCTGTTATCTAAATTCTGTTACTTGGCTCTTTCGATGAAGTACCCAATTTGTATCCCAGGAATCAGGTCCGGCCAATTTAGCTGTTTTCATTACTGAAGATTACTCCTGAGAAATCTGTTTTTATCTCCTTTTCCAAACTTGTTTCTCTTGTTTATTTAAAGATGGCGTCTCTGTTGCTTTTATCTATTTAGCAAATGCTATTGGTATTTGGCCTCTTTTCTCTCTGTTTGAATTCACGATACCGGTTTCTACAAGACAATCCACTTCTCTTGCTAATGTGTTATCCGTTTAACGTATCCCAAGTCTCTTTTTGTGACATTAAATCCAGATTTTATTCTTGTTTATATTTAGCTAATGATTCCCACTTGTTTTTTTTTCTCTATTGTTCTTTGATCTAGATTCACTTTTTTTTCACATTGTATTCCCATCAATCAACAACGTTACAATATCGTGTTTCTCTTTTGATGGCATTACGGCCACATCACACTGAAACACCGGTTCTCGTACAATCACTGAAGTTAAGCAACGCCGAACCTAGTCATGACTGTGATGGGGGACCACTTGGGAATACCGGGAGCTGAAACCTTGGATGTGCGGGTGGTGTAATGGATAATGACTCGGAATTGTTCATCGGAGAGCCGAGATCTAATTCTCGTTGGGTTCGTTATATTCACTTACGCGAAAAGTTGCTACTTTGTCTTGTTATCTACAAGGAAATAATATCTAGAACGTAAAATTTTATTTTGGAATGATATCTGCATAGTAAAAATGATGCTACTTTGGCTTGTTATCTTTTCCTTGTAGATAACGAACCAAAGTAGTGTGGGATAAGTATGAATCCCCAGCTATGGGTTAATTAGTAACTTATGTCACTAAACTATTATCTCAAAAACAAAATTCTTACAGTCTAAAAATATTTTTTGGCTTTAAATAACCTGCAAAGGTTGATAAGCAGTAAAAAAATGAATCAATCAATCAATCTTTTGAGGGTATATTTTTCTTATAAACTATAGCAATATTTACACAGGGTGTGACAGAAGTACATACTGCATATACCATCCAGAAATACCTCCTACATAAAATAGTTAGCTAGATGAAGACCCGGTTGGCAGTAACATATTAGAGCCATTAGTGTCTGTTCGATTTTAAATTAGCCGCTTAAACCAGAAAGTTTATATATATATATATATGTTTCATTGAATAATTACAAACATTATGTCTGCTTATTTTTATCATAATCCTTTCATATTCACGAATATTTTTCTGTATATTATTCGTGGATGTGAAAGGATTATAATAAAATAATCAGACATAATGTTTGTAATTTATTCAATCAGACATGTATAAAAGAGAATTTGCTGTCTAAACACACACACACACACACACACACACACACACATATATATATATATATATATATATATATTCGTGTGTGCGTGTAAAATTTCAGATATAGCTAAACATATATATATCAGTAAAATATGAATAAAGCCAAAAATAAAACTTATCTTAACTGACGCGTTTCGTCCTCTGATTAATGTAAAGATATTTTGTGATATTAAATCCAGTTTTTCTTCTTTTTTTCTCTTGTAAGTTTGTCAGGAAAATGGAACCGTTCAAATTACAAATTACAAAATGGAGATGTCAAAGTACAAAATTTAAATATCTGCGAAGTGTTTTAATAGAGGACGGAAAGTGTGATACTGAAATACACAATTTCCTGTCCTTTGTAGCTCTTAATAAATGTTGTCCTTTTGCTATCTCTCCTAAACCATCCAATTACTCAACTTCTTTCCTTCTCATTATGTGCCCTAGACATCTGAACTGCCTCTTTCTGATATTAAGTAGAAGTGTCAATTTTTTCACATTTTCTCTAAAACTTTGTCGCTGCTCCCATGTTAAGTCCATAGTATTCTCAGAATCCTTCTGTAGAACCAAATTTCCGTTGCTTCAATTTTCTTCTTCATCTGTGAGGAGATTGTTCATCATTTACTACCATATAGGGGGAGTTATATTACATAACGGTTCAGCACTCATTTTTTGTTTCTTAATACTTTGCTTAGCTTTTGGAAGACATCTTTCGCTATCCCATTGTGCCTTTGGATTTCAGTTTCACACTTTCCATGCTCTGTTAAAACGTTTTATATTAACTGCATGTATAAATTTTCAATACATAATTTTTCTATATCACTTTGAATTAATTCTTATTTCAATTTCAGCGATCTAAAAAAAATGCCAGACTGCAGCCGACAAAATCTTGTCTACCATAGTGGCAACTGGCAACTTGATAATGACTGAAACAGTCGAAAGTAACTGAGAAATATAAATCTTATTTGAAAATGGGCAAAAAATAAAATAAAATAAAATAAATAGACAGTTGAATTAAAAATGTTTTTCGGATGCATTCTTGCTGTTCGAATACTTTTTATTTAAATGATACAATTATACTTATCTACAATATTAATGGGGGCTGGAGATGTCAGTTCGTCTCTTAGTAGTTTCTGTTACTCCATTTTGTCAAATGGTTTCTTTAGTCCCCCCAACGGAGCAAGCCTGTCTCGATGTTTGGGCCACTCATTCAGGCATCATGTTTCTGACCCAAGAGAAACTGCTTTGATACCTAAGCATCAACAATATTTAGTAACTCTCTACCTTGAGTAGTCCTTGGGCCTTATATTGATTGAAATATATTTCTACATCCGGCAATAATGCTTCTGATTGGGAGGTTTTGGTGAGCCTGGAACCACCTCTTAAACGCTGTTGTTCGCAGGCCCACATTGACCCGAGGTGGTAGCACCTGTTAGGGTCTCAGCTATGGGACAAACTGGGGTCAAAATATGAAAATATAAAAATGCATTAGAAAATATTATCAGCAATACATTTTCATAGTAAAAGAATAAAAAATATTATCAGCAATACATTTTCATAGTAAAAGAATAAAAAATATTATCAGCAATACATTTTCATAGTAAAAGAATAAAAAATATTACAGCAATGCATTTTTGAAAAAAAAAAAAAAAAAAAATACCAAAGCTCACAAGACGATAAAATTTCGGCATTAACCCATTAACTGCCAAATATTTTTAATGCACATTTTTGGCTCAGACAGGTGTCTTAAGAGTTTATTTATTCCTTATGTTTAATTTCAGTAGTTACTACTGTCGTTTTTATAGAAATTGAACATCAAATATATATATGTATAAAACATCATAAAATTATATTGATTAGAAATAATAAAAAAAAAAATTTAAATTAAATATTTTTCTTCTCGTGAAATGTAAAATTACGACAGAAAGTGTCTTCTTACGGCTAATAATAAAAACTTTAAAGGCTAATTGTTGTAAAATATACCTCTGCAAATGCAATGTATGTAAGCAATTCAATGTAAATACAAGGAATAACATGTAGTGCGTTTAATTTTAACAGATCCCCAAATGGGACTCATGGCAGGTAATGGGTTAAATGACCCATAAGGAGTTGATATGCCGTTAAACAAACAAACCAAATGTTTGCTTGTTTAATAGCATATCAACTATGTTTACTTTTATTTCATAATATATGTTGAAACATGGGTAAAGAAAGGGATTTAACAAATGCCAAAAAACAGAAAATAACAAAGTTATTGAGTGAGGAATGTCCATATTGGTGATATCAAAGGAGATTTGCAGAGTTCATCGAACGATAAAGAAGGTTGTTGAAAATATTACTAAATTGAGAACTAGAAGCAAAGGAACTTTAACTTTAAAAACTCATAAACTAAAGTGTGTTATTGTAAAACTACTACTTTTAACCAGTGCTCAAATCTTTCAACAGGCTGGAATTGTGGGAGCCAAGGACAAAAGGTGTAAAATACAAATTGGAATCTATCAAGAAATCTTCAAGGCAAACTCTTCTCAGTAAAGCAAATATTTTAAAGCGTCAACATTGGTCCTAGAAATACAAGAAAATTGACTTTTCTAAAGTAATTTTCACAGATGATTCTGGAGTGACACTCGATGGACCTGATGGATAGAACAAAGAATGGATTATTATCATGTAGGTGTTCCTGTGGTTAAAAGAAAGCCACAAGGAGGAGGCAGTGTGATGATATGGGCTAGTATAGTCGGCAAAACAATTATTGGACCCTTCAAAGTTGATCAAATAATGCATTGAATCAATAGCATCATCTACCGTTAGGAAAGTTGGCTTTCTGTGTTGTGCCAGAAATGTTTTTCTCGTCTGAGTCCATCCTTTAAATCTATAGATCACCCATCCGTCCTTGCATGGAATATTGCTTTCATATATGGTCTGGTGCTCCCGCTGTACGCCTCGAGTTCCTTGATCAAATTCAGAGATGAATATGCAAGATCACAGGTCCTGATCTGGCATAGAGTCTACAATCGCTATCCAACAGATGTGCCGTGACCTCCCTTTGTCTCTTCTAAAAAAATTTTCACGGCAACTGTTCCGACGAGCTACTGTCGTTGGTTCCCGGACATCATGAATTTAAACGTGCTACCACGCTGGCATCTCGGTCTCACCCTTTCACTGTCAAAACGGTTAAATGTAACCCTCTCTTCTTCTCAAACGGCTTCTTCCGCACTTCCCGTCCGTGGAACTCCCTATCCCTTACTTGCTTCTCTTCAAATATTCAAGTGCAATGTCAATCGACATCTGACACCCTGACCTTGTTTTCCGTTCTCCTCTGTGTCCTTTCCTCAAACGCGCCTCTTTACTCTTGTTCTCAATCCTCTGTACCTCCTTGCGTGCTAGTGGCAATCCCGCCTTGATTAGGGTGAATTGGCTTTAAAAAAAAAAGTTAAACTGAACAGTGCGATTACACTGAAAAAATGTCTTTGAATGGTACAAGCCGCAGACTCGCCGTTTCAAAATGAAGCATGTATTTATTCACAACACTGCTCCTTCTCATGTATCTAAAGTTTCCCATGATTTTACGGTTTACAGGAGAGAAGAAAATGGAATGACCACCATCAAGTCTTGATCTGAATCCAATTGAAAAGTTGTGAAGATGAAATTATATGAAGGTGGAAACAATATGAAGCAAAGCATTCCTATGGGATGCAAATCAAACCACCATGTCAGAAATTGAATCTGATGAAGTAAAATATTTAACAAATTCAATGGATTATAAATTGCTTGCTGTTATTGAGATGAAGACTCAAGATATTAAGATGTAAATGCTTCAAATACTTATCATATATGTTTATGACCGTAATTCCCCGAGTATAATACACATATTTTCTAAAAAAATAATAAGCAAAATTAGGGGTGTGTATTATGCACAGCTACAAAAATCTTTAAAAATTTCCGTTTCATAGGTCGATTTCAGTTGCGCAATGACTATTCACCACAAACATGTATCAATTTGACACTAACATTCGGCGATTTCGACCCCATAAAGATGTCAAATATATGTACCTAAAAATACTTACAAATGTAAAATAAAATCAGAATTATCATAAAACTAAATTAGAACAATATTTTTCTATGTTTAAAAGCATTTTTTTAATAAGAGTAGGAAACGCTGGCCGTAATGAAATTGAAGAGGTACAATTTATAGGGTTTGATTACCAAACAAGGGT